CACAAATTGACGTTTAACTATGATTATTGCATGGCCATTTTCTTGTGAAATATTAGTGCTAGGCATTTCACACTTACCAATGACCACCCCCAAAAGTACCATCTGTGAACCATATAAGCACCTCAGAATAGCCAAAGCTTTTATGGTTTTGTAGATAGTAGTATGGCGAAAGCGTATTTTTTGGGTGTGGTCAATTTCGAACGTTTCGCCCCGGATTGGGGTTCGGGCAGCGTTACCATGTTGACCGTCATGGTCAACTTACCTAAAACAGTTGAGATTATCTGTCCTAAATGAAATGCATACAAACTCATATACAGGTCCTAGACTTTGTAGATCTAATTTCGACAAGCTTTATAGATCATTTACTTGTATGGTGGTGGTGTTAACCAGTCTATTACTCACCTGCATAGGTTGTAATCAACGTTGGTAAACTTATCAAACATAATAATTCTATAAACACAAGTTATGGATCCTGGTACAAAGGCGCAGAAAAATAAACGGGCAAGGTAATTCTTTTTGAACTCTCCGGCTGTAACCCCACAACATCGTGATGCATGTTGAAAACCATGAAAACAACGGCAATAATTTGACAGACTTTCCAACAATCCGTGATTTATGTACGTGCGCTGGAACACTAAGATTTTTGTCCGTCCATTCTGTACAAGCGTCATTTGAATTTAAGTCCACGTAGATGAGTCCAACTGTAAGCGACCCTAATACGAAAACAACCGCCGTTATTAATCCGACATTTGCCTTCAAAATTCGGATTGATGATTCGCAGAAATTTCGCCTTGGGTCAGCTTGCATCCAAACAAACGTTCCATCTTCATAACAAGGGACCTCGGTCGGAGGCTCTTGTTCGTACTCCTGGTGTATTAAGCCGTTGTATACTTCGTCTTGTTCAGGATTTGGAGCGGATATCAACGTGTATTCGCTTTGTAGATTTTCTCGGGATATCGGTGGTGTTTGAATTATTAAACGCGAGACGAGGGCCACACAACTGCCAAATAGTTCTTCTAGAATCATATCCGTTTAAACTTTAAAGTACGTGAATTTGTCTCATAAAGATACAGTGTACAGCAAGCCACTCATGCAAATCGAATTTATTCAGTTTTCATTTTCGCTTTGCCGCATAAAACACACCTATATCGCGAAACCCGAAAGTTGAAGGGAATGGCAATATAAAGTTTTATTTTCTCATTTGAAAGAACTTTTGAAACTATATATATATTGACTTTTTGTGTGTGTGTTGGTGTTATCTACTCAGGTGAATATGATGTTTGTGATGTTACTCTGAGTATGCATCCACACCGGGCAAACTGAAAAGTTTGCTTGGCCACGGTGGGAATCGAACCCGCGACCTTTGGGATACCAGTCCAATGCTCTTCCAACTGAGCTACGTGGTCAAGTCGGTTCGAATTGTTGATATTTCGGAACTGAATCTAGTTCCTTCGATATCAGTGTAATCTATGATATGATTTTTGTGTGTGCGTTGGTGTTATGTAGCTACTCAGGTGAATGGTGGCCGGGCATTTTGCCGAAAGACAATTTGCCGAAAGACATTTTGCCGAAAGACATTTTGCCGAACGGACATTTTGCCGACGGACGTGTTGCCGAACGGACGTTTTGCCGAACGGCCATTTCGCCGAACTGACAGTTTGCCGAACGGACGGTTTGACGAACGGACAACTTGCCGAAAATAGAGATATCTTCTGAACATTAAAGGTTCGCTTATTATACGGTCGAAGTTTCTGTGATTAATTAAATTAAAGTTATTGTCGATTTTGATGACCGGAACTTTCATAGTGAAGTATAGTTTCGTTTTATATTCTTTCAAGTTTACCGAAATTTCTCGATATATAAAAGAATAACATCATTCAACATCATTCATACATTCATGAATGCGATTTCCCCGAGAACTGTGAATGTATTCCATGATTCTCGAAGCAGGGCCTCTTTTAAGGATATGTAACTGGGTGGGACATCTTTCCCAAGGGACCAAAAATAACGTAAAAAGGGGACCTGAAAAAAATCTACTAAAGTCTATAAAATTGCGGCTACTAGCTTAAATATGGGTTTCGCTCTAGGGCAGCAGATGATGGTCAAATTTAGAAAATAATGTCAAGTTGTCAACACACCTTTTTCTCACTTATATATAATTGCCAGGCAGCTAGTGAAACTCATCTATACAGTATACCACTATATACATGTAATCTATCAATCAGCAGTCCGATGTAAAAAACTTCTTTACGAAGTCACGTTCCGCATATGAACTCAGATTAGGAAGATTCATTCGCCTCTGTTTTTTCTGTAGAAATTCTTGCACCATAGGACTGGGGTCAAACTGAGATGTTGGCACTCCATTCCAGTGAATCAATAGCCTATCATTCAGTGTTTTTTCAGATGTGGCCATTCTCAGGTTGGAGAATAACATGTTGTACGTTGACACACATCTTTCCACCGTCATACTGTGAGGGCAGAGAACACAAAAACCTGACAAAAACTTGGTCACAGGTTGTTTGCTGCCCCTTAGCATTTGGTAGAGTCTCACACCATAGTCTCTTGCAGGAATATGTGTATCAGGAAGCATTTCCGTAAAATTTTCTAAAACTGCATCAATAAATGCTTGTTTATCACTGATTCCACTTGATTCAAGTTGAGGTAATGCAATGTTGATGAATTCAATTGCACGTTTTGCTGAGGTCAAGTTGATAATGGTTGTTACAATTTCTGTTTGTTCCTCGTTGAGCCTGGTCTAAACATGATAATGATATACATAAAAAATATAGGTAATAGTAATTAAAAACTTTATATGGTGTGACCTGATTGCTAAACAGATATGAGATTACCTATTTATCTCATTTTACCTGGAGAAAATTCCTTGAAGAATCAATAACCTCTTGCCTGATAGGTTGTTTTCCTCTACGAAACGTTGTCACATTGGTGTTGTGTGTCCTTCTTGGTGTATTATCCACTGCTTCATCATTCTCTGGATGCAGTTCTGCAATCTTCTTTGTTAATAACTCCTCCTGCCCACCTATGTGCAGTAAAATAACATACAATGTAATGAATAATACACCTTTGTTAAAGAACTCAAATAAGAGTGAGTTCAATTTGTTTTCTATAAACAAAGTAACTTACTAACTATATATATTTTACCTGGATATGGCTCTGTTTGCATTATATCAAGTTTTTGCAAGGCAGTATCTCTGTACTTCAAGATATCAGGAATGATAATGCCAGGCTTCTGGGCTTCTTTTTCAATATATCTGAAGATACAGCATGTGTCCACCATAACAGCAGTTAGCCATGCTTGCACTCCTGTTGGTTGCCACAACTTTAAAAATCCTTTTGCAGACGATACCTCCTTGGTATTATATTCTCGAGGAGCATCACAAATCTTTTGCCAGTGCTTTAAACATCCATCTAAATTGAATAGTATCGCTCCACAAAGTTGAACAAGATGTTGAGCAAACCTTACCTCATGATGAGGAGGAAAACTTCTCATGTCTGGTTTTATGGTCTTCAACTCCTTAGTCCTTAGGCCTGATGTGCGGTAATAAGTAGCTACTCCCGTTACATTGGAAAGCCAGATTTTCAGTTCAGGTACCAACCTAAGACATTATAAATGTTAACATTAATATAGCCTTATAATTTATTTTTTTATCTTTTTTTGCTCAGGGCTTCACTTAAAATCTCTTTTGTGAGTGGACTTCCTAATGAAATATTGTAATCATTATTTTATTATTATTAATTTATTATTATTATTACCTCATCACATCTTCCATTGCTAAGTCTGATCGGTGACATGCACACCAGATATTTCTTGTTGAACGACCAACATAATTTTCAACTCTAGCCCACAGTCCAGAATCCTTACCAGTGTTTGCAGACTCTCCATCGGTGCTCATCCCAACAAATTTTGACTGCAAACATTCTTTAGAAAGGCCCATGTCATCAAAACAGTTTGTCATGGCAGAACACAAACCTTCAGCACCACGCTTGGTACTTTCCCTTGCACTTGCAAATCTTGTCTTAATAGAAAGAGGGTCCTCGGGTGTATTGAATCGAACAAATATAAATTTCTTATCTTGTTGCCTAGCATCGACAGAACCATCCATTTGTGCAGCAAAACAAATACAGTTCTGGAGTTCTTCTCTAAGGTGCTTTCTCTCTGTATCTCCTATTATCTCCAACATTTCTGCATAATGCATTGGATCCCTATAATGAAGTTCCTCTCCACTTGGTTTAAACGGGGTAAAACTTTGTACGTTGTCACTGTCAGTTAAAGACCTAAACTGTTGTTGTGCATGTAAATTAGCAAGAGATCTACCTGGCTATGACCAGGCAGCTAAAGTCAAAGATTTACTGTCATTATAGACCTCTACTGCCATGTCAGTCAAGGTCTTCAAAACTGTTGGATCACTTTTTGTTGCCAAGTTAATAAATGGGTGACGTTTGTCTTTGGCATTCCACAACTTGGATAGCTGTTTCTTTTCTTGAGCTGCTCTATGTGAAGGCCCCAGTAGATGATCAATTACATCTTGTATCTTTTTCTTCCCATCACAACGCACACCTTGTGCCATGTACACTCTACCATTAGCTGAAAAGCG